TGATTACCCATCATTCATTGTATACTGTTTCAAACTATCAACTTTATACTTGAATTAAAACAATAGTTGTTCCATGCTCCGAGCATGTACACTATGGTTTTTTTTCTAAACACTAGTCATGCCATACACCAAGTATGCACACTATGTTTTTCCAAACATTAGTTCTGCCATACACCAAGTATGCACACTAAGTTTCTCTATGATTTTTATTCTGTGAAATAGATCGATTGAACATAATTCCAATGATACTCATTTCACAATCCCAAATCCTTACCGCAAATGCAAGAATTCCAAATTCCTGCCATTGACCTAAATCTGTTAGATTTTAAACTTATATGCATTGGTCCTCTTGTAATGATTATGCACAAAGTCACAAAGATTTGTCAACAGACATTACAGAGTATTCCAATGGAGATCAACTCCATAGAACCGAAGTCTCATATTCAAAATTCATTGCCTTTGAACATTCTTCTTGCATTAAGTTTCCTAATCTTACACAGATTTAATGAATAACTTCCACCTATGGGAACATTTCCATATTCCCCTTTTGACTATTACCCCTGAACAAGAGTTGCCTCTTTTCAAAATATGTCAATATGGTCTTTCCAAAATTAACACTATACTTCCAACTGTCCCTGAGCAACCAATCTTGGGTAAACCTTAGATTGTTCTCAACAATTGCTTAATCAAATTAGTCATATCTAGTTCTAGTACTTTTTCCCTCTTAATGCTCTGGGCATTTGGAAAATTTAGAACAGATGAATATTATAGCACATGCAATCGATCCTATATCCGAAGCATATGAGACACGATTCATAAAGACATGATACTAGACCAGTCTTTTGCTATAATATTTCTATTTCTATTTGCCAAGTTCTCATAATTCAGATTATGAAGAGGGATGCCGTAATCATAATCGAATTTTAGAACGCAAATAATGGACCCATATATAGAATTTCGTTATGTTGAGCTATTCCAACATGAAATTCATATATATATCCTTGACTAAATATGATTAAAACCTCAATCCAAGCTTTTAGAATTGAAATGAAGTATAGTTTCCTCTCCCTTAATTATAACAAAACAACTTTTTCCCAATTGAAACCTTTTTTGTTTTCTAAAATTAACATTGCTAACTTGCAACACTTATCATAATTATCATGCTCCCACTTGCATGATGATTATTAGCATAAAACTTATGCTCCCACTAGCTTTGACATGTACTCAGAAATCAGCTGGACTCCTAGAAATCAATACTTTATTGACCTTCTTACCAAAGTTCATATTTCTGATACGAGATGCTTTGATAAAACTTTATCAAAATCATACACCTTTCCTTAGATAGCACACATGTGTGTCTAAACAATTATAGAACTATGAAAAGGGATGCCATAATCATAGTATCAATTGTTTAAACCTTTTCCATTTCTCACAAGTCCATGTTAGTGTGCCGGTTAACCACACACGCTCCACTAACGACTTTGAGAATGCAAATATCACAATTGCTATCTACTTAAAATCTACTTAGTGAAAGCATTTCCTCACCATCATTTCCATGAATCGGAGAGAAACCTTATGACACTTAGATTTTCTAGTGTATGTGTTCCTATCCATGTGAATTTGTCAAAACCATAATCATAAGACAAGGTTAGTGACAAATCCAAACTCTTATGGATTGAACTTGTGCAGTCTTAACTTCTTGCCACCTGGCAGCTCAAGGGCCTGCATAGCTTCCAAGTGGTTATGCAACCAATTGAGAACTCTCAGAGCTCATATGCAAAACCAACTTTAACTGGAATGGGCACAGAAAAAGGAATATGTCAACACGATAAGTTATAAACCTCGAGTCGTGTGCTAGTGATAAACTATAGGTTTTTCTTCTTGATCAGATCTATAAGCTTTTTCAAGATCTTTAAGACTCTCACTGTCCTCTTGACATATAAGACTCACTTGCCAAATGTTAAAGATATAGTGCAGATTCTTTATCAAGACAAACACTTCACACAGTTGGCCTTAGTTTGTCTTTTTTTTTTTATCCAAAACATCACAACTTACCGATTTCAAATGTACAAGAGTAGGATACATTTTACTCTTACATTTGACAAGTGTTATAAACCTTTCTTTAAGATATGTCACTCAACTTACAACCTTAGAGTATGACTCTAATACTTGTTTTGGAACGAAGTATGACTCACCTTCTTGATTTAACCATTTCAGCAATTCTTGGTTCCTCTTCTTAGCTATAGGAATGCACTAAAATGTCCTTAG